AGTGTATACTTGTTAGACAAAGACGTACCTCTTTAATGGAAACCAGTGGACTTAAACTGACAATGTAGGAAAGTCAGAAGCTAAACAGAGGTGGACTCACACATTGTTGGTTTAAATTAAGATATTTCCTTTTCATATTTGACCCTATTACTACCCACTAGGCAACAAACCTGACTACACCTGAAGTCATAAATTGCAACTCCAAGTTACCCTAAACTGGACTTTGCCACAGAGCCAGCAGGTGCACCATGCATTCAGATAAGGTTTAGACCCAACAGCGTCTACATTAGAGCCATAAAACCAGCGGCCTCGGAGTCTAAACGTCTCTAAACTGAAGGTGTTCCGTCCACATTTTTCAGTCGTGCAGCTATTTTATTATCTGTACCAGCAGCTGTTTAAACACAGCCCAGAGCACTGTTTTATGCTTTCAACTGATTTTCTCGCCTTTTATGTGTGTAAATACAGTCGAGTGACCTAAAAGTTCACATTTTGCCTGAACACAAGCTGTTTTAAAGACCTGAAGATGCTGCTGCTGCTCCACTCTGTCACGTTTACAAACCGGCTTCACATGTTTCCCACTTTGTTTTTTCTCTTGTTCCTTCTTTCTAGGATGTTCTTTCTCATCCTGCACCAACACATGCGATGACCAAGTCTTTCCCCCTCACTTTTTGTTAATGTAGAATAGGCGCAGATCTCCCGACTCGTTCTGGTACGAGCCCACGTTCCACGTGCAGCGGAAAGTCTCCATGTTGGTCGAGACGCAGCCGGTGAGGTGTGGACGTCTCTGAGGGACGGCTGCAGGGAAGAAAACACAGACAGAGAGGAAAATTACACGTCTAATAGCACATTATACAATAAAAAAATCCTTCCTTTGTTGCTACTGCTGTGACTGCTTGTTGCTGTGGAGGCTGGCTGAGCCGCATGTCAGCAGCTGGATAATGAAGCTGAAACCAGACCCCGGTGTGCAGCTCAGCCAAAGGCAAGTATCAGCCTTTTCCTGGAAGTCCTTTTTACTGCTGTTCAAGAGAAAGCTGCAGCTGGAGAGTTCACTGCCACCGCTGTCGGGGAACGAGCTATTTGCTTTCGCTGTACTCAGAAATGCACTCGCACATAAAAAAAACCACTTGGATCCTGTTTTACTGCCTGCAGAAACTCAAGCCATGTGTGCACAGAGCACATTTCTGGAGCTTTCTAGCAGCAGACTTTAACTCTGTCCCAAAATCCTGCATGTTTGTTGTGTTCACAGTGCAAAAGGAAAGAAATAATCCAACATGCAATGCAAAAGATTCAAAATCTTCCCTCCTAGTATGAACTCTGAGTAAAATAACTGCAAAAACAGAACAACAGCAGGTGTCTAACACATGCTGGATACAGTTTTGTATTTCAGCACAGTTCTGATTAAATGTTTTCTTTCTCAAGTCCTGGCATACGTTTGTAATATTGTGCAACGCACTCATGAATGGATGCATGAGAAAATGGAAAAAATCTGCTACATTTCACCACCTCGCCGACTTGTTCCAAACCGCACGGACGAAAACAATATTCTCACTTAGCTTTTGTGGCACTGAGCTATTAAAATAATATTGTTTTTATGTGCATGAGGTTTTAAAGCTCCGATATGACGCATGCTGGATTTACGTTGTGGTGTTTGCAATAGTTTAAGAATACCTAGAAACATTTGGAGGTTCTCCTGTAGACAGTACAGCTGCATCAGCCATTGTTTTTTATTATTGTTTGCTCTAAAAAAATCTCAAATAATCGTGAAAGTATATCAGTAGATTTTCCTAAAGCCTAAAATGATGTCTCTTATTTTGTCCATAAACAAAAGATTTTCAGTGTCGCAGAGTTTCAAAAAAACATTTTAAAAAATAGTAAGAAATTATAATTATTGTTTACCAAAGCCTAAAATAACATCCTGAAATCTCTTATTTTGTCCACAAACCAAACATATTCTGTCACCGAGGAGTTAAAGACACAGTTAAGAAGCTGAAATGACAGAATTCTGACTTCTTTCCCCTGAAAAGTTACCAAAAGTGCTTAATTAAATAAAGTTGACAACAAACCGATTATGTGTTGCAGCTTTACTTAGATTTTTCTCTGCAAATGCGCGTGTTTACACAAGAATCCACTCAAAGTCCACTTACTGGCCCCCATCTAGACCTTTAAGCCGCATCACACGGTCTTCATCAACACAAGCTGTTTGCTCAGAAAGCAGTCGGCACGACAAGCCGAGCAAAGTGTGGATACATGTTTGTGTAATGTAGGTGAACCGGCCCTTTAAACAAAGAGCTGAGGGGCCTTTTTGTTTTTTTTAACGTGCTCTTAGGTAAAACTCCGCTGATTGTACGAGCTGCAGGACAGCAGCAGCCGTCAGCTCCGCATTTCAGAGAGGATCCGGGCCGGCCGAGTACCGGGAAGAGCGAGGACAAGATGGCTCCTTCTCAGCGGACGACGAATACCTCTGGCCTGCTTCAGGGAAGGGGAGTCACGGGTTAAAAATAACCTGTTTACCAGTTCCCCCGACGCCTCCTCGGAACTGTGCTTAGTCAGGATTAAGAGAAAAATCAATTTGACACTCAGCTATGTGAAGCATTTTTGTGGCTGACTTTCTAGTGATGCATGAGGACGTGCGGCTGGTTTGTTAGTCGACTGAGAAAACGGGCTGAAGTGGCCTCAGGCGCATTTCTGGGTTTGGTTTTATTAGTGTTGTGTTACATTGGAGGGAGCACAGCAATGCAGAGTGGGTTTTGTGAAGGTCCAATATTTAGCATGAAGTCATAACAATCTGCCGCTGTTCTCAAGAGCTACTGGTGTCTGTGGTATGAATGTCTCTGACAAATCAAGGCAAAGAGCTGCTTTATGGGCAACTCCACTGAAATGACTCAGTGACCTCGTATAGTACAAAAGAAAAATCTTATCGTGACATTCCTCCTGTGGGGTTTTATTTTATTCAGAAAAGGCAAAAACAGGCCTTCACATTTCAGCTTTTATTATAAAACAGCTTTTCGTGATTAAGTTGCACACACTGTGACAGAAGGTTTAATTCGACTGTTAGACTTCTTCAAGAATCATTACAGTTTCTCATTTATTTTGCCACAAACCGTGATCACTCGACGAGCCTCATTTATTTACCTGCAGACTTACAGAGGCAGGTGCTCGGGGTGGATGGTCGGCCCACAAAACGCTCGGCTTTGACACCGGACACTGGGGTTTGAATCCTGAGCTCTGTGTGTGGTTAGGTTTGGCAACTAGACCGCGGTTTTGCCTCCACCAACGACGTGAGCGGCTAAAAGTAACCGTAGACTACGAGGTAGGATCGAGAAGTTCACATTCCGTTCTTTGTGCGCAGGAACAGATCAGCAGCTCTGTGAAGTCGTGCCATCTCTTGCAGGTGTTTTATGAGTTCAGCACGGACCTGCAGAAGCGAAATCTTGTCAAAGTGTTAAAGGATCTCCAGCAAAAGGATGACCCAACATTTAATGTCGAAGACCATCACTAGAGACAAGAGTTGGGTCTTCGGCTATGACCCTCAGATCAAACAGCAGTCTTTAAAGACGGAATTAGTCTCCGGTGTCTGACGGAGAACGTTCAGTGCAAAAACGACCTGAGCTGTGGTCCGATAGCCGCTCGGCGCTGCATCGTGTCAACACAGGTTGAAAACGCACACTTTTTCTCAGGCTTCACCGACGCAATCGTCATTCTCCGTCCGCCCAAATTCGCCTGATTTGGCTCCATGTGACGTCTTCGTCTTCCCAGAAATAAAGTTCAAATTGAGGCGTCGCAGGTGGTGCCTGATGGATCTACAGAGCAGGTGACCGGTTAGTAATTCCAAGCAGAGCAGAAGCGCCGATATCACTGTATCAACACACAAGGTGACTACATCGAAGTGGACGGTGGCCAGATTCTAATCAGGGACGATTATTGGCCTTTACAGGTGCAGATATGGAACTTGTTTAGCGCACCATGTTGCTATGAGAAGATAACGTAGAAAAAAAAATACATTTTACTGATTTGCAACTTATGCATCAGTTGATGAAATGAATTCCTCACAACTACATGCAACCATAATCATAATTTGTAGGAGACCGGGTAGATTTTGCAATGCATAAGAATGGATTTTTTACTTCCAAAATTTGCAGCTTATGATCAAAATACAAAATGAGATATAAAGTAGTCATAACTTAACACTACTTAAGCATTAATGCAACAATAATTATGATCCAATAAAAGCTGAAATGATTATTCAATTAACAGAAAATGTATTTGTCACCGCTTTGCTAATCACTAATTACATATTTACTGTTTGCAGCCTTTTAAATGTGCAGCTTCTTCGCTTTAATTGATCTACAATTATGCATTTGAGGTTTTAAATGGTTGCACATTTCCCCAGTTTCATTGCTGTAGGTGATTGATGTGTAGAACAAACAGTCATTTTAGTTTTAAAGTGCATTTTGCTGACAATACTTGTGTATTTTCAAGGTTAGTGTTACTTTAAAGTAAAATCTTGAATGCAGGAGTTGTGTTTGTGAGAGTCACTTGATTGAGAGAAAAAAAGAAAAAAAAAAGGAAAATGTGTTTTGCTCCATCACGCCCGAGTCTTATATTATACATTTCTGGGTAGAGAACGTGGTCAAGGCAACTGGATGGACTCGCAAACTGACGGGCTTCTTTTTTGCCGCTCGCAAAGTAAGAGCTGCAGTGTTTGCTCAGCAGCTGCCGCGCAGAGTTCACTCCTGGAGTAAGTAAACATGCGAGCAGCAGATCTGGAGTGCACTCTGTCGAGGCCACGAAGCTCACGGACAATTTCATAAATGGTTGGATCAATTTACAACGTACGCTCATCACTCCGCTCGTCTTTCTGAGCTGCCGGGTGGCGTAAACATGTTTACGGCATGACTTCTTTTTTTCTCTCTCTCTGAGTGCTACCGGCTCGCTCTACTTCAGGGTGAAACAAAACATCCTCGCTCGCTCTGTTTTCACAAGCCCAGCTGCGTTTCCTTTTAAGCGTGATTTCGAATGGACCAGGAAATAGCAGCGCGCATTAATTTCCTTCGGAGGACCAAGTCATACCCTCAGCAGATCCCATAAATTATCATGTGGAACAAAGCTCCTTGTCCGTCTTTGTTTATGCAGCCTCTCGATGGTAATCAGTGTGTGTTTTTCCTATTATTGCGTCTATTAACATCTGCACAGTGTGTCGGTGGGAAGCCGTCATTAATGTCTTTCCTGTGAGTGCACAGGGCAAACAGTTATTTAGAGAGTCACATGTTCAGACATCAATCAGTGCACTCTCAGGGGGAAATGCCTTATGCTCTGCATTTAGAAAAGCCATTTCCTCGCTTGGCTGAGGGCCACGATGCGCTCACCAGTGATTACAGCTAAGAACATTTCACTAACAAGCTTTATGGGATAAAACTTGGATGGAAAAAAAAGCGGCTCGTATATGCGTGAAAGCGCACGGTGACAAACGCAGCTGCATTATTAACAAATGTCACGACTCCCCGACTGAGGCCATTTGATGACTAGAACCTCCGGTGGAAAGTTATTTTGGCCAAAGTGCATTTCACTTTCCAATAAACTGTCCAACCCGAACGATTATGAGGTTGTTTATTCCTGCCGGCAGGAAATAAATACCCATTATGATGTGGTAGAGGTTTGGTTTAGAGAAAACAGGTACTTCCTGGGGTTAGAAGACCTTTGGTAACAATAACAAACATGTGGTCGACTGCCGGGTTTTGTTATTAATGTTCTAATCTGTCACTGTGGGCGTCATCTCAGCAAAATGTGGTCGTGCTGCGGTCGAAACAGAAGGTGGTTTTACATACTTCAGCAGGTGTTTATATGTCTGTCTTTCTGTCTGCGAACAGATTTTGTCAACAAGAAGGCTGATTCAAGAACACTCATGTAATCGTGTGAAAATGCAGCAGACGCTACTTAAAGAGACAACAGAGCTGAGTCTTGGTCTGGAACAAACTCTTCAGTGTTAAAGTCTAAAGTCTTGTTGGTCCGTCCATCCGCCCCGACCTCCTCCTACACACACACTTTTGTCTTTATAAATCCATCCAACTCCCTCCTTTTCTCGTGGTGCAACTACCAGAAGCGCTCGAGGCCGCCGTCACAAAGCAACAAGGCCGGCGTCTCGTTTTCACGGAACACACAGTACGAGGCTCCAGACGATACGCTCTCCGGGTTGAGTCATCGTTATAAAAGATGAGCAACTGGGTTCCGAAACATCTGGTGCTTTGATAGAAGGCCAAAGCACATAGAAAAGGTTGGCAAAGAGGTGTCCTTCTGTTAGAAACATCCAGTCACTGAGCTCTAAACCATCACAGTTTGTAGAAACCTGAGAAAAGATGCAACAGCTTTAAAAACAGCTTTCTGAGCTTTTGTAGCTCCTCTTACATTTTCCTTGTTATTGGCTCATTTTTTCCTGCACTATGAACTCCTGCACTTCTTTGGAAATGCGAAAAATAATGACTAGAATTAGAGGGAACTCAAAATCATCCCCATCTAACTTCCCGGTGAACCCCCAACTTGCTATAGACATTTTCCTCTCTCTGTGCAAACACTGCCTGCAGTTCAAGCCGAACAGTTCCTGAATTTTTGTGAATGTTGGTTGCAGATGAGTCGCTAAAGGCTTCTCAGTTATGCCGAAGAGTGCAGAATTTTATGGCTTTTTCTTCAGAAACTGGTGCTAAAGGTTTACGTCTGGTCAACTTTTAAATCAGACATGCAGGATAAAGTGATTTTCATGAACCGCTACAATTTTAAGCTTCGATTTAATTTTCTCGACAGAAGTTCACGTGGCACAAGATCAGTTCAAGGACTGCTGGACAGATGAAAATCCAACGATTTTGCCAGTTTTTATCGTTTCTGGCTCTGATAAATGCTGAAATGTTGGCAATTCTCTAACAACGACATGCCTTTCAAACCTGCAGGTGTGTTTTGAGGTTCAGACGGTTAGAAATCAATTGAATGTTCAGTGTAAACTGTCAGATAATATTCTTAGAAGCTCAGGTTAATATATCGTAGTATCTTCTTTTGTCTGACCAGATGTACAAAATGAAAAGATTCTGGCAGCACATATTTAAACCAGTGAATGTTCATCAAATTTGATGTCAGTTAATTGAATCCATCAGTTAAACCCCCTGATCATTTCAGTTCTGGGGTACTGGTTGGTTTACACTGATATGTAAACTGGGGGTCAATCATTTTCTTCCCCAGGGGCCTCTCTTGAAAGTTAATCCAGCCTTGACCATAAAGCTCCGTAAAGCCGAAGGTGTTACGTCGAGTTCAGGAAAGAGGATCCGGACGCAGGACACCGAGCGCTGAGGCCGGACGTGAAGTAAACTTCAATAAAACTTACGGCTGCTGTTAACAAAAACTACAAACTACAAAATCACAAAGGCAGGAAACAAAACAAAGACGTGAAGCAAACGAGGCGACGCTTTGAACATCAAACAGGGATCAAACTAAAAGAACATTTTAGTAAATCCCAACCGGATGTAACCCGTAGATTTAAGACTTTTTGATTCCTTGGAGGTTTGTCAGCTCCTTTCACTCGCTTCCAGCTTGTGTTTACAAAATTAGGTAACACACTGACATCATTTACTTTTATATGTGTTCTTCGGTTACACACCAGAACAAGTTAAATCTAAACTTAGAGATGAAGCAGCGATTCAGGAATCTGCAGCCCGTTAAAGAGGTGGCAAACTGTCTGTCAGGTCTGCAGAAAAAAAACCATTGAAGTGATGCTTAGCTGATGCACGGTGGCCTTGTTCACTCGCAAACAGCAGCATGACACAAAAAAGGAATAAAAACAAGCAGCAGGAGATCACGTCCTCCGTCCACACCTCCGCTCAGGCTGTTATGTAACGAGATGAGCGTGCGTGACTCAAATGCTCGATCCAGAGCCGCTTTACACGTCTGTGGATATAAAATACTGGCCGTGTCTGCAAACACACAACCTTTCCACCGCCGTCGGGAGGGTACAAAAAAAAAAAAAAAAAAAAAAAAAAAAAAAAAAAAAAAAAAGGGGGGGGGAGAAAGAAAAAAAAAAAAAAAAGCCGGGGCCTCGACACTCTAAACAGCTTCCCATTGTTCGGCCGTGGAGTGCTCTCTGCTCTCCAGAATTCCTGGGAAGCCACTTCACTGGAAATGCTGCTGTGGCTCTCAGCGGAGGGCTCCGCTGTTGTGCAACACACTATCGCGTCCATGTCAGCGCCAAAGCCGCACAGCAAAGCACGGCAGCTATTGATGTTTTTCAAATGGTTGTGATGAGCAGAAACAGATTTTTTTTTTTTTTTATCTCAAACGTCAGCTCCATTTGGTTTTCATTCCAAACCAAACACATCAACGGCAATTAAAAACAAACTCTTGGCTTCAGAAGACGCCAAATGTCAAAGGGAGCATCGGCAGTGCACTAAAGCTGCACAACAACACAATCAGTCAGTGTTTTGGTGCAACAACGTACCTTCCTGAGAAGCTGATTCCAGCGCCGAGGCGGTGAAGATGTGGAGGAAGAGGAGCAGCGCAGTGGGAGCAGCAGCAGCCATGGTGCTGAGCTGTGGAGGAAACATGTGGCTAATATTAGTTTCTGAGTGCACAAGCCATGAAGGCCCAGCCCACCTCCACCACCATCAAACTGGGACGCTCCCAACACTCCTCCCTTAAAGAGCAGCACAGTTAAACCCCGCAGAGCCACAGAAATGTCAAGGAACTGCCCCTAATCCTCATAAATATAAGAAGAGATAGACAGATGTGTTATTCTATACGCTGACATCTGGCTGGAGGAACCTTTGTCCTGACATCTGCTCTCAGTCTGTAGACACTTACATATCAGCTCCTTTTTCCTCCTCCTGATTTCACACATTTTGTTTCTGGTCCACGAGAAAACACACATAAACAAGATCATATTTACATAACACACACATAAAGTGTTTTATTTTGAACATGAGAGACTTTTAGTCATTTTTCAAGCGAGGGCGAAATATTTGACGAGTTTCAGATTTTCAAGTTTTACATCTTTGCAGTTTGAGGATGTTTGAGGACTGTTGGTGCAAAACGACGGGTTTCATGATATCTGTCAGGGCTGCAGGTAACCGTGAACAAAATGTTAATTAATGAATCAATGCTTTGAGTTTGTCCACTGCTTCAACTAATGTTGTGTTTAAACTTGACTCACTCACATGTGCAGCTATATTGTCACTTCATTCTGCTTGTAACCTGCCCTTTAAATCCTATTACAGCTTGTCTAGTTAACTGAAGGATTCATTGCCAGTTCGAGTAATATTTCAACTCCTTTTACACGTTTACATTTGAACTGCTGCTCCGTCAGAGCATCGTATAGGACCTGCTAAACATTAACTGACTCGGATCAGACTGGAGCGTCCCCACATTGTACCTATAACTGGTGACATACTAAGCACGGTGGTCATTTATTCTGATACTGGTGTTGTTCAACTTCAAATATGATAAGACCTACAAATATGTAATATGTCATCAGGTTATACAAATGCTACGCCTTGACTTAAATGCGAAGGCGCTTTCCAGAGGTCATTATACACTGCAGAAGGCGTTGTCATGGTGACCCTTTACTAGCTAAACCCCCACCTCCTTGTGTTGCTAACAGCACTAAACAGCGAGCAGCTCCACCTGCAAAGCTTGACGTGTAGGCAGATGCTAAACATTAGTTGAGTCAGATAGGATCAGCTTGGGGCAAAAAAAACTAGACTTGATTGCGACATCCCTACATTCTACCTGTGTCAAAAAACTGCAGCTGCAATTCAGCGAGTGCACTTTTTGCTTGCATTTCGATGAATTGTTCGGCCCTGTTGAGTGATAAAACAGTCATGACACGTGGCGGCAACGAACACTTCATCAGCTCGATAGACTAGCGACACTTTAAGGCGTTAAAACAACTGAAACAGTGCAAAGCTGTCAATCACATCCCTCGATAATGGAGCTCCTTTGGCCTCCACACAGGCGCTAAGTTGTCATCAAACCTCACAAATGACATTGCTGCTCTCACTACATTAAGGCAGGAGCTCCAAATACATTCTGTCAAATACACTTTAAACAACAAGCTGAAAAATCCCTCTTCAACTCGCAGTCAACCCCAGATTCTGAGCTCTGCAACAAATGATGAAACGAGTCTCTGTCAGTAAACAAGACCTGAACGAGGCCAGGAGAGTAGTAGAGACGGATTTCACAAACGCTGGCAGGAGCCCAGCCGGCGCTGTTGGCGGCGGGCTGATGTCACGTTCCGCACAAAACTGTTTACTGTTTCACAACATGCCTCTCCAGGAAGAATGAATGATGTGAATACCAGGAAAGAAAATAATGAATAAAACATGCTCCGATTTAAACCCGCTGCCGGTTCTCACAGCCGTCCCGCTGCTTCATCAACGGCATTTTTTTTTCTTCTGCTTGGCGGTATTTTAGAGTTTCGAAAGGAAAAATATGCCGAAGCTGAAACATCTGAATGTCTTCACATGTCGGGTTTCAATAAGATGAAAGATAAAGAAGATGGGGAGGCAGTTGAACCTTTTTTTTTTATAATAAGAGTGTCATACATTATATCTAGAAAAACAATTTCAGCATCTGTAGCTGTTCTTATTATATCTTCTGTCATAATTTCATTAATATTTGAATTCATGCAGTCATTGAAATTGATTAAAAATGCAATAAATGAGATGTTAAAAAGGTAACTTTGAGAATCAGACTAAAATATACGACCTAACGAACCACATTTCACAGCTCTGGGTTGCAGGAGAATTTCTGACTACATCATACTTTCATCTTTTAATATTTGAAGCCAAGCTTCCTCTATTTCCGTTTCGGTTTGACTAATGTACCGGCTGAGTTAATGCACGTTTACAGCATCGGTATTGGTGTAAACGACACTTTAATTCCCCCCAATTTAGATTAAAACATCTATTAGTATTTGTGAATTGATGATTTAGTCGTTATTGATACTGATGTAATTTCCAGTTAAGCTTATTTTTTAAAGTCTCCCTTCATTCTAAATGTGGGAAAATAAAGGAAATGAAAATAAATAACGCATTTCTGTCAAAGGTGCGAATAGGTCGGCAAAGTTCTCGAGTGCGTTGTGCTATGAGTAATTACCGCCCCATAATCTTTCCCCACTTGTGTCCCACTTAAAGGAGTCTAAATACGCCCACAGTGAAGGTTTTATTACTGGTGTTTATATTCCTAACGATAAGGCCGAGAGTGAGAAACATAATGTTCATTTATAACCCACAACAGCATGTCTGCAGCATCAGCGCTGCTCCTTTCTAATCTCCGTTGACTGTTGTCGGTATGTATACATTTGATAACAGAGTCCAGCTTTTGGTTAAAGACTAAACTGCCCTCACAGCTGCAGGTGAGCAGATGGAGACTCTGAACAGTTCACATTTAAGGCCAAGACGACCCTTTTTTCTTCACTGCGATCCCTCTTTTCTGATGAACAACACATTGTTTTCATTTGTCCCGGCCTCATTATGACCCTTCGTTATGTTTTATCGTTTTGTACAGACGCACATGTGGCAGAAAGAAAAGTCAAAGTCAGGTGATGTAATCATAGAGGCACTGGGAGGAGGTCGGGGTGGATAAAGGGGTCCATCAAACATAAGACACTGCTGTTCATGTCCTGTTTTACTTTCAACTACTAAATAATCTTAACTTTATGTTTATTACTGTTACCATGATGGCAAAAGTAGCCTAACATTAAAAGCATGCTAATTTTATTGTCACGAAAGCCTAAAAAAGATGTTTTTTTTAGGCCTAAAACCAAATCTTAGTTATTTATCTTTGTGATTTTGAATATGGATTGTATCAGGTGTGTTGGGATGAACTTGATATAACATAAATAAATCCACCTTGCATGCAGATGTAGTCCAGTGAATCGTATAATGGTACTTGTTAGCAACACAGTCTTTACAAAATGACATTCCTGGATCACCCTGGAGATGCTTCAAACATGTAGTGAAAAGGTTGTTTTTACCCCAAACCAGGACATTTTTCTGAACACCAACCAAGCAGTTATGGTGCCTAAACGTAAACCAGGCTTCTAACATGTTAAATTATCTGACAAAGTTTTTCTAAAACTAAACCAAACCAGAAAACACAAAGTAAATGACAGAAAACGAAACTTAATTCTGAAACTGATCATCTGGGTGAAGGTTTGGTTGATGGTTTATGCCACCGACAACCCATACTACCTCCTCAGCCACCCGCCGGAAACCACAAATTAGGTTTATTTCAAAATAAAGGTACATTCTCTGACAAATGTGTGCGAAAAAGCAGTTTAGTTGTATAAGATTACAATTCTGGGTTGTTATTTGACACATAAAATGAAAAAAAAGCAATGCAAAACTGTCACTATTGTCACATTTGGTTCAACTAGAATATGTCTACATGCTTTAATGTTCAAAAAAACAGATTTTTTTTCCCCGGTAGCTGCATTTAAAACGCTCCGTTTTTAGCGCCTGTCAATTTAAGACCCGCCTCCTGAAACGCCAAGCCTGCTCCGATTGGTCAGCTGGCCCGATGACACCTGATTATAGGCAGGTAACCCGAGCAAAAGCATCTGTACTGAGGGAATAATGTTAAAATGCAAGGAAGCTGCTCATTCATTGTTGGGGGCGTGGCCAAATGTGTTACATGATGATGTCATCAGGTAACAGCAGAAAAGCCTGGAGTTGAAATGAGGCATTTTCCGGCGGGTAAAAAGTTGAGTTTTCTGTCAGAGAATAACTCACTTTGGTTTGGACTTTGTAAGCCTACAGAGCTTTTATGTGCACAAGAGAGCTGTAAAACACAAAATATGGGCTCTTTAAATGCTCCAGAAACATCTAAAACTTGACAAACATGCCCATAATATTGACATTTATTAACATAATGATACACAGCAGCTCGTGTCCTGTCCCAGTTTTTACTCTTAACCTTAAAAAGATCACATGACAAAGTACAAATTGTACAAACGGTCCAGATCTCTATCAGCACGACGACGCTGTGCTGTCACACTGAATGGTCTGTTTTGAAGAGAAAAAACCGCAGAAGTGCAATAACTTCGGGGTAAGAACATTATATTTTTGGGGCAGGACGCATGTTTTTCACTGTGTGCAGGAAGTACGAGAACCTCACAGCAGATAAGAGGCAGAAAGACGGTTTCAGTGCTAAATGTTATGATGGTTTCAGTTCCTACCTGCTTGATTCACTGCAGGATGTAAGCGTACGGTGCAAATATCCACCACCGACGAAAACACCTCACTGCACATCTGTTTGTCTTCATCAGCAGCTTACAGGGAGTTTTTATTGTAAAGTTAACTATTGGGTTTAAATTCAGCAACAACATGCAGCATTTGAAAGGTTTGCAACTGGCAGGTAGCATCAGAACATCAGATATGAGTCTGAAAATCATGGAAGAAAAAAAATCATTGATTCATTTTGAATTTTTTATTTTATTTTTTTCCCCCACCAGCCAGTTGATAATTTGATCTGTTTAATGTTTTGACCTTTAACTACGTTTAACTACATTTTACTGGTCTGAACTACTTCAGTGCATCATATCATAGGAGTTAATATACAGTAAAAAAAATAAAAATCTGTATTTTTAAGAGTGATTTTTGAAACAATTAACTGTTATTTTACAGGTTTTTATCCATTTTGGTAAATTACAGACAACAACAACAATAATAATAATAATAATAATAATAATAATAATAATAATAATAATAATAATAACAATAATAAGCAAAGTCACAGATAAAAGTATTTAAAATGGAAGTTTTTGAGATTTTTTGAATAGTTTTATTCATTTTTTGAACAATTTACTTCTATTTTAAAGCTTTTCTCTGTTTCGCTAAATCACAGATAATAATTAGCAACATCACAGGAGGGAAAGTATAAAAAATAAACAATTTTTATTAGTGTTTAAGTGTAATTTTTTTAAAAAAGTATTTTACAGATTTTCAAGTTTTGTAAAAGTTTTACAGATGATTGCAGTTAATTTTTAAAACATTTTGAACTTCACAGACTTTCTCAGATTTTTATATATTTTTTCTTGCTGCCAGATGATCAATATTGGATTAAAGATGTATTTTTTACAGTGTATCTTTTGGTATAAAATGTCGTCAACAACCACCAGGACACATTCTGTTGTTGCCTCACTCCAGAATAATTGGACACCGTGACATGTTCTGGTGTCGCTGCCCGTCCAGGAGAGAAGCTCTTTTATTCGTCTATTACGTCGTGTTAGTTTTGGTTCGTTTCTGAACATCTCTTGGTGGTTTTCAGATGGAGGCTGGTGGTTGATGGAGATGGAGTCTGTGCAGCAGCAGCAGATCCAAAGCTGTAAATCAAACGTTCCTCCTCAGTGACGCCTTAAAGAAACAAACCTCAAGGCGTACATGTTCTTAGAGGCTTTTAGTCGCTCCTAATGCTCTGAATAGTTCACTTTTCTTTTTTTATTTGATGCTACAAACTGAAATCCTCTTATTTTAATATTTGATCATTATAGAATTTAATCTCACAGCTCAAATCCTATTTCGTGGAGTTTATGCTTTTTGTTTTTTCTCTCTTTTAAAAAAAAAAGGTATTAGTTGTTTATTTTATTTTAGAAACTGATCTTACAAACTGAAATCCTGTTTTGTCCATTTTTTATTATTATTTGATGTTTATTTTATTTTCAGAATTTGTTCTGGCAAGATGAAATTCCATATTTTTAAAATTGTACTCTTCCAAGCTTTTACGTACTGATTTGGCATTTATTTTATTTATTAAACAAAATGACTTTAAAAGTTTTAATACTGATTCCTGTCTAGCTTTTTTAAATAAATAATAATAAAAAAAAAACATATACTTTGTTGTTTTCTGTCTATCTTTACCAGTTTGTTTTAAGATGCACCAAATAAACACACTTGATTTAATACAACAAATAGTTCAACTAACAGTCAGTGTCATTATCAGTGAATCTACTTATTATTATTTTATTGATTCCATGTTGATTTCAATGTCAGTCCTGAAACATGTCCCCAACCATCCACAAGATGAAGATTTATTCTTATACAAGTCACAGAAAGACTGAAATCCTCGCATGAGAAGCTGGTTTGACTTTAATTTATTCTAAGAAAGAAAGAAAAAATCAACCAAAGTAGTAAAAGTTCCAAACAGCAGGTTTCTGGCCGCTGAGCTTTTGTTCTGATTTAATACATTAAAATGTGAAAAATAAACCAGTCTGACTGCTGAACCAGAACACAGAGATCCCAGCTGATCAGGACCAGGTCCAGGCACGTAAACAGCCGGTAAACAGCCGGTAAAGAGCCGGTAAACAACCGGTAAACAGCCGGTAAACACCTGGTAAACACCTGGTAGACACCCGGTAAACACCTGGTCAACAGCTGGTAAACTGCCGGTTAAACTCACCGCTGGCTGCCGGTAAACACCCGGTAAACAGCCGGTAAACACCTGGTAAACAGCCGGTAAAGAGCCGGTAAACACCTGGTAAACCACCGGTTAAACTCACCGCAGGCTGCCGGTAAACACCCGGTAAACTGCCGGTAAACACCCGGTAAACTGTCGGTAACCAGCCGGTAAACAGCCGGTTAAACTCACCGCTGGCTGCCGGTCTTGAGCTTCTCCGGTCCAAACGGGAGCAAACAGCTGCAGGTCCAGAGTGAAGCTTCTCCAGAGACTGACGGAGGCAGGACACGCTGTCGAAGAAAACCTTCCTCCTCCTCCTCCTCCTCCTCCTGTCTGTCTGTCTGTCCTGCTGCTGGATCAGAGCCGATGGCGCCCCCTGCCGGCCGGGTCTGGACCAGCAGCACCGGGTCACTGACTGGTCACAGAGCAACACTGTAAAACAGCAGCAGCACTGATTCCTGTCAGTAGGAGATGTTTATCAGTCAGGCGCCCTCTAGTGGTCACGTCCAGCTGCAGCTGCTCCACATTGTTCTCCTGTATCATCACCAATGTCTGCTGTAAGAGCATCACATGCAGGCATTCATACAAATATCTTTGGAATTTTTTTTTATCTTTATGTGTCTAATAGTTTTTAAGATTTTATTATTTTTTAAACTCAGACTATCAAAATATTTCGTATTATGACAAAGTTAAAATATGGAAAAAAAAAATAAAAAAGTCCAGTCATTGAGCTCACATTAACAAAACAAAAATAGTTAAAGCAGAAGTCAGCTCGTGATATTTCCTGAACCACATGTAGCTGCAGGTCACAAGAACACAACATGTTACTCTTACAGCATCAACAATGGAGATATTTGTGTGTATTTGTGAAGTATTAGCTTGTTATGTCAAATGCTTTCTGTGAATTTTTTAAAAATAAAAACATGGCCCGTGGAGCCAGTCGCTGCAGGTTTTTTGAAACATGAAGCTCTGATGGTGAAATTAGAAAACAAGAACTAATAATTTACTCTTAAAGAAAACCTCTGTGTTTGAAATGTATAGTGTTGTTGTTACTATTAATGTTATTATTGTTCATATTTTTATATTAATAATAAGAAAATAATAATAATAAGAATTTAAAAGTATCTGAACTCGGATTAGGTTGTTTTCTGGATGCCCAGAACTTGGAGATGAATCCTTCATTATATTCTGTTGGAGTGAAAAGTTCTGCATTAAAAACATTCACAGTTTTTCCGATGATTAAATAAAAACTTTTAAATAAAACAACAACACTCGGGTTAATTCAGAGACATTAAATGTTCAGTATTTCCCTCGACAATGTAGTTAAAAGCCATTTAAATCACTTTATCTTTTACATGAAGCTGGACTGCACACAGCTCTGAGTCCAGACTCGAGTCCAGAACCGACTGCAGACTGAACCTCTGCTGAACTGAAACACCTGAACGCAGCTCAGCTCAGCTGCTGTCGTCACATTCCAGCTGCTCAGAGCAGCATGAGAGCCTCCCACATGTCCTCTGGTTGGTGTCATCAGACCACCCACACTCTGTCTGCATGCTTTACATAGCTCACACACACACACACACACACACACACACACACACACACACACACACACACACACACACACACTCTGAGGTCTTAGAAGCCTGTAAATCAGAG